CCCCCCCCGGGGGCTCAGTACTATTTATCTTCCCTGGGACTTGCCCAGCTCCTCTGGCACCGAGCCTGGCATTCCAGGTCAGCTCTGCTGAACCGGACTCCGCTAGCTCAGTGTGTGCGAGTACAGAATGGCATGTGTGCTGTCCACGCTGCTGAGGGCCCCTCGCTTTCCATTAAAGACCAACTATTGTGGAATAGGCAGAGTTACTTCTGCGGGTATAGGGTGGCTCCAAAAACTCATAACAATGCAGTCTCTTTCTGTAGCTGGCTAGATTAAAACTAGTGGCAGAAAGTCATTGCCATCTGACAGCTGTTCAGAGGCATATGGTAGTTTCAGTTCAATTCCCAATTGACAGGCGTCCCCATCCCAGACACAATTGGCACTGAGTCTTGGCAGTTGTGGCAGAGGGGATGAGCAGTGAATGGGCAGGGGCAATGAGAGGCAGCTTCTTGCCCCCAGAGAGGGGGACGGGGGCTGGGAAAATGTGATGAAACTGCCAGGTTTGATAAAGCTGAATTTCTTTCTCTCTTGCAGTAAACATTATCCCTCCTATTCACTGAATGTTGCCTCCATGTGGCTGAAATTAGGGAGACTGTATATGGCACTGGAGAACAGAATGGCTGGAGTTAAAGCTCTGAAGAGGGTATTTATTTCCTGGTTTCTTCATTAATAATACCAGTCAGGCATGGGATCATTAAAACACTACGTGCTTCTCTGTTAGTAAGCCTGGCTTGGTAGGAAATGCACCATGTGTTAATATATTTGGTTACTGGATTTTTGGCTCAGTTTTGATTTTTCCAAAGATGGAGTATAGGTCTGTTCTTGCATACAAGGGGTCTTACCTTTTCATGGTGGACTTTACTGCAGCAGCTGGAGTGAGCATTATGCTTAAAACATGTGCTATACATTCTTCACTGAGCTAGAGCTGAACTAGTGTAAATGAAGCTTCTCCTTGCTTGCTAGCTAAGGACAGAAAAAAATGCTCTTATAAAAGGCACATAGTGTTTCATTGAAGTCGGTGATTTCTATATCCAAATTAAACTAGGCATGTTTTTGGTAGTTATTTGTTCTGGAACCAATTGATTTTTAAATAGCTGAAGGGAATTCAGTGCATCTGGTAAGGCTGAAATTGGCAAATACAGCATTTGGGTTTACATTTTTCTTCACCCCTTTTTATTAGTCTGTTCCTTATTCTTTAGGTTTTTTATTCTTCTAGTTATTAGTCTGTACCATGTTTCTTGACATTCTTCCCCTATTGTTGTTGGACAGAAGTGTATTTTAGTTTCTTAAGCATCAGTGACTACTGTAGCATATAATGACTTGGTGTGGAATGTCATGATTTTTTTCCTCCTTTTTAGATGCTGGCAAGTTTTTAGCCAGTAATAACAGAGCCATCCAGCCATGGTGAAAAATACTACAAGAATATATGCTCTAAAATTTAATTGTTAGCTAGTTTAAAATTAGCATGGGGTTTCCTTTGCTGTGGTGTTAAAGCTTTGACTAAAACTGGGATTTGTGCCAGTAGGAACCTGGGATGGGGGGTTGGGAACTGTAGGTAGATTTGTTGGCGTAGTTAGCTTCCTAACACAAACACTTTCTAATGACTCACTTCCAAAAACTGCCTACAGGAACTGTCCAAAGTTATCCCAGCCCCTGATGTTTGGGATTTAGTGGAAAAACAAAACCATTGTTCTCTGTCAGTTTGTCCAGAAGGCCCTCCTTTCTTCTTTTGGGAAGGAGGGGGAAGAGAGTCATTTTGCACTGCTGCTGAGGTGGAACCAAAGGCCCTTGTTGTACTAACTTAAGAAACATAAGAGCATAATTCCATAAAAGTTTACTGAGTAGAAAATGACTAAATGCTCTGAGGACTAGGATGCTGCAATTCCTTGCTTTGTCTCAGCACTGTGGTCTTTAAATATTCTCAGACTTACACGAATTTGCTTCTTTCAGCCCTACCTACTGCTGCCTTTTATTACATGTTTGGGGCCACTGCTATCCTTTCCTGAAGTGGAAATCTTGCCTCGACACCCACTCTGCAATGCCATGGGGATAGTGGCAGGAAACTGCAAGTCAGTGGGTTTGGCTGCCGGATGCATTCACTCTTAGGGCCAGAGCAGGCTGTAGGTGAAAAGGCAGTCAGGCACAGCAGCGTCTGTCCAAATCTGACAAGATCCTGCTTTTGCCTCAGTGGTTACCTAAACAATTGCTTCCTTCATTGGTAGCCTCTGGAACCAGTGGAAGGTTTACAAAATCAAGTCTAAAGTGCCTTAATGTAACTTCTGCAGTAGGCCTGCTCGTCAGACAGCTGAAGGACAAATTGATAAGGAACAGAGCTCTGTCTGATACTGGTTAAGTCCTCTGCCAGAATATTACCCACCCCACTTGCAGTTTTCTGTCCTGGAGCTGGTTGCATTCAAAGTAGTTTTGTCAGGAATATAATTTTGAAAGGTGCTTTGGGATCCTTTAAGATGAAAGGTGTATTCTCTGAATGTAAAACCTTTATTACTTAGTTTTGAATTTCATTTTATTACCTACTGGGTTTATGACTACAAGGGGACAAAAAGTAGCTAGAGGTGTCAGACTGCTTCAAACCTCTAAAGAGAGTATTTATAGCCTGGTGTTATATATGAATCAATTGTGTGAATATTTTTTCTTTTCATAGGCAATTGCCATCATGGAAGTAGCACATGGGAAAGATCATCCATACATTTCAGAGATCAAAAAGGAATTAGAGGACCACTGAGCCTTTGAATCTATGCAATCCTTCAAACCTTTATTTAAAAAGCCTTGTTATGGAAACCTTCAGGAGTGCTTTGAAAAGCGGTAGAGTATGAACACAGTTCTGTCCTATAATTGGAATGACAAACACACTTAGGCCTTGCAAAATGTTCCTAGTTTCCACACATCTACAGTTGCCTTTTTTCTTTCTTTTTTTTTAAGGAAATGTTCATGATTTCTTAAAGGTTATGCGTTTTGACAGCTCATGTGCAAAAACGGTCATTTTTTTCTTTATGGATTCCAATGTGTATCTTATTTGTGTAAAGTAAATAAAGTGGTTTTGACCCCTCTTTATTCCACTGGTATACCTCCATGGGTGCTGTAGTTTTCTGACATCTACTTTTGCCCAAGTTGTTTTATTTAATCTGACAAATTAATTAGCAAAAGCTGTACTTTTTCTTGTGGTGGTTTAATATCGAATTCCTCTTTTCACAAATAATTTTGTTTGCAGTGGCTTAGCTGAGGGAAAGGGGGGTGATGAATTCAATGCATTGTGCAGGAAGGCTACCACTGTTCCCTCAGCCAGTGAATCTCCTGGCTGAGGAGGGATTCACTGCTGTAAGGACCTAGAGCTCAGCATGCCTCATACAGAGAACATTGGCACCTACCACAGGGCTTGAAGGCTTGCACAAGATGCGAACCATGCAACTTCTGGCTTTTTAATCCCCTTTACAAGTTGAAGTGAATTTATTGCAGAGGAGAGCTCATATTTCCTTATAGCAAAACCTTTCCCTCCTGTGGATTGAAACTATTCTATTAACATGTTAGCAATTGCTTTTAATAGAGGAACAAGAATGTTTTCCGAGGGAAAAATCCAGTACTGGGCTTTCTCTGCCCCTATATAATAAGACTAGAGGGTGTTTTTTTCTCCATTTAGATCAATGGTAGGAGATTGCTTTTAAGGATGGGGAAGGAAGAGAAGAGAGTGTGGCTGTGTAATTCCAGCACTGAAGTTAAAATACATTGCACAATAAAACTGCATGACCATTCCTTACTGCTTCCACTGCTTATAAAGTAGGATGAGAGTGGAAAGAGGACACATCAGCATTAAGAACTTAATCATATATTTTTTTCTTGTAAGCACTGCTCTGGAAATAAAACTGCTAGAGAACAAGGGTTTGTCAGCTCATTTTGCTGAAAGCTTTCATTGCTCTCTAACTGGCAGTTGTTGCTGGAATACATAAAACTGCACCAGATCTCAAGATTCCAGAAAGCCAGGGCCCCTTAACTACAGCCCAGCCTAGCATGAAGGCACCAACTGACCTTATCTTGTCATTAAACTCTTGTCCAGGGAAACAGCACCTTCATTTCAGACAATCTGTCCAGAGCCCAGACTCTATTTCAGCACTAAGGAGCAGGATTAGCCTAGCCTGAGCAGTGATAGGAACCTTGTTCATGTGAACCTGGACTACTGTTTACACAACTGTGGCCCTGGCTCTACCTGTCAGTTTAACACAGGAAATTAACACCAGCACAGTAGGTGTAAATACAAAACATGAAGCTGGTAGAGGAAAACACACAAGCATAGTTTTCCTTGAAAAAAAATGGTTTATTGTATACTGTGAATATGAAGGACAGCCTTACCAAAAAAAAACCTTAGTGACTGAAGACATTCTCATATTTGCAAAAGCATATAAGAAACTATTTACACAAAGGCAGTGAAAGGGGTAAAAAATTATTGCAGTCAATTAATGCTGAATAGAATTTTATAAAAAGAGAAAGAAAAGAAACAGTGCAAAAATACTGTCAAAAGTAATCAGTTCTATACACAAGATAAAACTGACAAGCATAAGCTTATGTACTGATATGAATAATACATTAGAATATAAAATAGCATGCATAGATTTTTTTTTTTTTTTTTGTAAAGGCTTTCAATAGCATAGAGTAGTTTTGCCATTCAGCCCTAACAGGAGGGAGCAGGGAGCAGGAAGAGCATATAACTGATGTCTCATGTCTCTATAAAATGTGTACATACAATGAGGTTGTGAGATTCAGATCACTGTTTTGTGCTAAACTGTTGTGTACAGAATTACAGAACAAATAAAACAGGAAGCATCAAAATACTGAAGTAAAACAGGAGAGTAAAATCCAGTGACATAAAACTTACTTAGACATGTTATTTCATTTAATGCATGTCCCACACAATTATACATGGGAATATTACAGTCATCTGCATGTGTAAACTTTCTTCCTTTGTAAAATAGCCAAAAAAAAAGGTACTTTACGAACAAGGAAAACACATTTTCCATATGGAGCAATCTCAACAGGATAAACACCCTATTAACAGCATTTCTGGCACTAAAGATTTGTTTTCTTTTAAAAAGATTGAATAGCAGCAAAAAAGGTACTTCTTTTTAACATACACAAAAAGGAAGTTCTTACAGACATAACGCATAATTAAATTGTAGGACTCACCACCACAGGACATTGTGAAGGCTAAAGGAATAAATGGGTTCTAAAGAAAAGGTAATGTAATTCATGGAAGATGAATCAGTAGTTATTAAACACAGTGAGCAGGATATAACTTTTGCCTCCAGAAGTCGCTAAAGGACTGGTTGCCAGGTGGGCTAGAGGGGCTGAGCACCCTCTTCCAGACACATTCATAATTCTTCCTTAGGTGTCAACTGCCAGCCACTGTCCAAGACAGGTGCCATGGAAGTAGCTTGTGGGAAGCCTTTGTCTTTTATTCCTGCCTGCCTAATCAGGGGACACTGCCCCTGAAACACCCGGAGCTGAGCATCCAAAACACTGAGTCCTTACCCAGGTGAGTTGGAAGACTAAAACTATTAGGAACTGTATTCATTGCAGGGATCCATCTTTCCCTTGCTGTTAAATTGTGCTGGGATTCCTCAGTGAAAACTGCTTTTTTACAGCTGACTTCCAGTTCACCTTCCAAAGGCAAAGTCCTGCTGTTGTAGCCTGTAGGAAGCTCTCAGTGAGAGTACACATAAAGCACAGGCAACAAAACTTCAAAGAAACACCAGCCAAAAAATGGCTGAGAGGAACCAATGGACTTGTAGTCTAAGATGCTCCAAAAACACTGACAAAGTTATATAAATATTAAAAGTAAACACACACCACTATGCACTAAATGTTTTGTTTCACAATCTAATAGTTTATCTATAGTTAAGACCTCCATCTTGTGGTGTTTGCCCAGCAGCCAGCTGTTACCTTCCTCAAGTCACAGTCCCTGCAAGACAAGACTGCATGCAGCTACATGTACAACATCCTCTCTAAAGCCTCAGATGGCATCTGTAGTTACCATAGCACCAGATTCTACAAGAAAATCTCTCTAGAAGGCTAAGAATGAGCTGGAGACAATTGCCCTTGGGGTTTTCAACTTGCAACCTTTCTCTTGTTAGCATCAAAACCCATCTCCAAATTGCATATGTTTTGGACTATACATCAGCTGATTTATATCCAGTTTTGTAGAGGGGGTGGCCAAATGATGTTTTTATGCAGTGCTTCCCTTTCAAGGTCAATTCTGGTATTTGCTCCTTCAATACGATGTCTTTTATGTCATGCAGTGGGTGCCACTCTAGCTGTCTGGCTGTAAAGCATTATTTTCCATGCAGACAAGCAGCAAAATTTAATTCTGACCTCTCAATGATGCATGAGAGCTGCTATAGCAGATATCAGCCATACCAGTGCTTCCATTTTCTGAGCACACAGTTCAGAAAGTGTTAGCAAGACTGACAAGAGCTAATTTAGTTGTCATGTCGGCCCCAGAGACTGGTGGGAAGTCAGCTGTTGAGAATGCAACAGAGTCAGCAGCTGCTGAATTTTCCCCACAGAATTGTGTGCTCTATCTGAGGTTGCCCATCAGCATTTATTTTAGAGTTGCTTGTGGGCTACACAGACATAACAGGTATTGGAGAAAAAAGATAATGTATTAGCTTAAAATGACCATCTCTTGAAGAAGCAGTGAGACTCTTTTCCAACCTATGTTTTGCCACTTGCATTTCTCTCTGTTTACAAGAAAGTAATTTTTAAAAGAAGGTCTTGAAATCATGCAAATATTTAATAATATTTGTAGCTGAGGCAACTGATTTAAATAAGTGGAACAGAAATGTCCTTCAGTATACTTTTATAAAAAGAACTGCATTAGTAATAGGTTTAAGTTCTCACAGATGTGTCTCCTGTCAGCTGAAACTAGTTTAGGGAAAAGGTATTGCCAATAGGGCTGAGCATTTAGGGTCCCTATAGAGGAGAAAGTTTGTAGAACAAGCTTCACCTTTCCTCAGGTAATCAAGGACAAGAGGTGCCAAAGCAGCCTGTGGAGGAGCTGGAACATGTAGGACCTGAGCAGCTAATGCCACCATCACCCAGTGCAGCCTGGGTAGGAAACAGGATGCCCACAGCACTGAGCAGTGTCAGAACTCAGCTGTCATCTCTCCCATCCCTGATTGGACAATGTTAGGCATGAAATGTTCAGACCATAAATTTAACCAAAAATTTGATGCCAACAACCTCAATTCTATCATTGGTATGAGTTTAAAGGGGAAAAAAAAAAAAAAGGTGTAAAATACAGGTGAAGAGTGCACAAAAAAGAAAACATACATAATGGATTCCCAAGTTGGACTTCCTCATCCACTCCAAGTTCTCTCTTAGAAAGTCAGTAAGCATTGGCCGAACATGCCAGACAACAACATGGGTGCCTTGGGAGGAGACTGCTTGTCTCAGACTTCTTAAGGTGCAGCTCTGTTCATTGACCATTGATGCATCTTTGTGAGATTTTCAATCCAGACTTTAGCCCAGATGAATGAAACAGGTCTCTTAGAACCTACCCACTGTCATGCTTTGATGTTAAAAAAACCCATGCAACACAACATATAGTAACTCCAAACTGTCCTCCTCCTTTACTTAAGGATTCTGCTGTTTAAAATCTGTGGGACAAACTAAACAGTACTGTTGCTTTAAGTCTCATGCATTCATTCCTGCTGTGACTAATAAAATTGGATGCAAAATGCATTTTCCTGTCACTCCCTAAAGGTTAGGAAATACTGTCCAAGCAATTTCAGTCTGCTAAAACTACAACAGGTTCAAAGTCAGAAGGTTCAGTTTTTCCCCTACAAAACTGTATCACATTTCAATCATAAAACATTGGCATGCTGAGGTTTGGTTGCAAGCTGGGATGGAAAAGAACCTCTGAAGACATGCACCAGCCCAGTTCACTTATGATATTAGCAAATCTAGGCAAGATAAAATCTAGTAGGAAAGAATACATTGAAGTCAGATGAAAGGAAAAGTTTAAAATTACCATTCTTTGACAATGAAAGGGAAAAAGTGAGTCACATTGGCCTCTATCTACCATACCAGCCACATTAGGAGTTAATTGGAAATGACTGTTTACTACATAGCCACTTACTTGGCTCATTAATAGGCACTGACTTAATGTGGAAAGGATTTTTGGTGCCATTTTGTAATTAATATTTTTCTAAGACACCTATGATCCATCTTTACAGAAAAAACATGTGCTTAATTTTCTTCCTTTCAAGCATAGCTCTTTACATTCTCTTATGCGATAACTTTCCTGTGCTTACTGTAGAAACAGAAGCATACATTTCAGCTGAGAAGAGCTGAATAAGACGACATAGGAACAGATTCTTCTCCCTCCTGATTTTCTACTTCTCACATCCAAGTAGAGCAATGGGACTTGACAGCCCTGAGTTCAAATTTAATTCATCATTAGGAAATTATTCAAAAAGTTATAACGAGATAACTAATTTAATACACTTTGCTTCAAGGTTTATTCCTTGGCTTGTTTCCCAGATATAAAGCATCTCAGTGCAATTATCATGCAGATGCTGCTGAAAAGACTTTAAATGGTTGCTGCTAATTTAACAAGAGATATGTTGGCACTGGCAGAAGAAATTAGAGGAAAACTGAAGTTGACTGAAAACTTAACTGATCCCTAAAACGAACATGGTCAAGATATTACAGCTAAATAACTCCTCACCATTTGTTGGTAGCTAGAAGTCTCCACCAGGATCCTTGTCACCTTGTCAAGCCTGTACTGCAGGGCACCAAATTGACACAGCGCAGTTTTAAATACATTTAAGAAACGTTCTGGTACAGAGCATTAGCTTAAGCTCCCACTGATTTTAGGGAAAGGTAGATGTGTAGGTCCCTTTAGTGTTGAAGCTGAGAGTGCTTGTAGGCATAGATAGGCCTTTGTGTACTGACCAGGGGTCAGAGGTGGGGGTGCAACAGAAAAGCAGTGATGGGACTACAAGATTAATTTAACTAGGAACGGGATACCATGAAAGATAATTTCACCATGACAGAGTAACTGCATTGCATCACGTGTCCCAGGAGGCTACGAAATCTCCACCCTTGGAGATTTTTGAAACTGGATATGACCCTGGATAAGCTGTGGGGTGAGCAGTGCTGGGACCAGAGGCCTCCAAGGCTCCTCTCAGCCTGATCCATTCTCTAGCGACCCGACAGGACTGCCAAGATGAAGCAGTGCTGGACAGCCTACAGGAGGGTGGCAGCATGCAGACATGGCAAGAAGAGTCAGTGTGAGGAGGGGAACGACATCAGTGCAGGAACTTTCCATTTCTTACACCAGAAATAACAGTGTGGGAGTCCCACCACAATGTGCTAAAGAGTGCTCCCCCCCCCCCTTTTAAAATCTTTTTAAAAGTACAGTTAGTATTGCTTCTAAATAATTGTAAGTAAATGCTACCATGCACAGACTGTGAGGCAATTCATAACGTGCTTTACTCCAGTGAAATGGTTTGGAAAGAGGGATATGGACTAAGTTGTGCAAAACAGCTAGCCAATGCTGAGGGACAGAGGGTGAGGAAGAGAGAGGAGGACAGGTTTAACTGCCGAGATACTTAGAGGACACATGGATTTTTTCTTAGCTCTGTCACATATTTTACTGTTGGCCTAGGGCAAGCCAGTTAAAAATCTAGTTATGCAGCAGAGGAGGTTTGTTTCCCTTTTCTGTTCTAATTGTAAACTTCAGGCAAGGACCATTTTTCCTTTATTTATTTATACATCATCCTCCTAATCCCTGGAATCCCTGAACACTACCAGGAGAAAATAGTAATAATAAATAGGAGGGAGAATCCAAAGTGACCAGAGGAGAGAGATGGTCTGTGCAACTTAATACAAAAAAACACCCTAACAAAGTGAGGTTTGCCAGTACCAAAAGGAAGACTGCTCCATATGTTCATAAACTACAAGACTTTGATGGAGGAAGAATTAAGGCAGGCTGAGTTAAAGCTCTCAAGGGTCAGTGTTTGGAGATCTCAGATACAGAGGAAAGACCATATCAATCATTTTGACGAAGTTCAAATGACTCGAAAAGTAAAAGGATTACAGCGCAGAAGCTGATAGTTCACTCGTGAAACTAAGGCAACTGGAGATGCCTAACCTAAATGAGACTTCATTTCTACAGGAGATGAGCCTCAAGGCAGTAAAACTTCCCATGTAATTCATGAGATGGTGCTTGATTTGAGTTTTTTTCAGCTGCATTTAGTTGAAATTTCTCCACCGTTCAGCCCACAGTCCACCAGTTACCAGAAAGACTCATTCACTGACCAGCCTGCTCTGGGTCACTGCACTTCACCCTGTACTGCTTCAACAACTCTTACGAATCCCTTCAAGGATTGCAGACAGTAGCAAAGTCCTTGTTTAAAAGATCCGATATTGCTTTTTCTAGGACTAATCTAAAACTGTAATTCTTGTGGAATTTGAACAGTTTAAGTACCCAAAACTCTCTGCCCTCACAACGGCCTGTGTGTGAGCTCTCTGTAACATGCCCTGCTGCATGTGCAGAGGCTCAGATCTCCCTGCTCCAGAACTGTGTTCCTTCAAGCTTCCACTTGTACAGAGCTGGAGCTGACATCTAGCAGGTCTTTGTTTTTACCATGGAAGCCACATATCTGGGTCTAAAATGTTCTTATGTGAGAAAAGCCCACTGCCAAATAACTGTTCATTTCAGAAACTGTGTAACAAAGTAGAAGCCAGTAAACTACCTTTACAAAGGATTGCTTTCCTTACGGATATGTTACAATGCAGACCAGTCATGTCAAATGTGGTTCAATTTGAAGGTCACTATAAGTTTTACAAGTTATTAAAGTAATTCACAAGTTATTCCAAGAAAAATAAATTATATCTCGTATAAAATAATCCATGGGAGACTCTAATAAAGAACAATCATTCCTTACTTTCAAGACAACTTTAAAAAGCGCAACATATGCACACAGTGTTGTCAAGGCAGTTCCACTTGTTCATCAGTAAGGTTCAGTCAGATCCACAAAGCTGGGTCTGGGATGCTTGAAAAGATTAAATAAGTCTGGAGTTTTGCAGGAACTGGATGAGCACTTGATAGGAAAACTTGTACTGGGCTATGGTCTGGATCATAAACATTCTCTGCTCCCGCAGGTGTCTCAGCATCACAGGAACATCCACTTTCTGTAAAGCAAAGGAGGAAAAAAAAGCATAAGGATGTAGGTTCATTAAATCAATCAATCATTGTCTAAAATATCAGTTATCTGACACAGGGAACTGTATTGCAGTTATACAATGTAATGAGCTACAACCAACTGTAGTGAAATACTACTTTTTTTTTTTTTCCCCCAACAACTTTCATAGAATCATAGAATGATTTAGGTTGGATTCATTTCAAGGAGTATTACAGTAGCATATGCAGGTTACCGCATATCCAATGCTTCTCCCACTGAAGCTTACAGGAATTTCTGGACTGATGTAAATGGACAGATGACCAAAGACTTGTCTTCCAGTTGCATACCACTGCTTACCTTTCAATGGATCATCAACTGAGCACATTAATAAAGGGCTGCTTCTCTTTGGAGTTTTTTCTGCTTCAACATACCTATTTTCAACTTAGTAAAATAAACCAAGTAGATCATATTATCTCAGGTTAAAGGCTAGATATATCAGGAAGGTCTAATACAAAACTTAAACAGCCAAGATTTAATTGCTCAGTTCAGACTCTACCACTGAGTGTGTCAACAGGCCCCATGGCCACTTGCATACTATGCTCTGATCCATCGTCAGACTTATTCATAGAGGGAGGATCTGAGAGATTTTTCAAATGGCAAGCAGGCATCGGGATCGTAAGAAGAGAGGTTCTTTGTACAAAATCAAAAGTGCAGACAAATATATTGATCCTTCCAGTAAAAGGGAAGGGAACTCACAGGTCACCAAAAGATCCAGCAACTCTGACACCTGAGCTCCCAAAGCCAGTCTATGCCAGTAAATAACGCTCCAGAAGAAACACATCTATAAAGTGAAGCAAGGACCCAGTATCCACAATACATGTTTTGCACACTTCAGGCCAGCATTGGTTCGTTGCCATTCAATGAATGCCCACTAGCAGCTGGGACGTGTTAGGTGTTCTCCAAGAAGGCATCTTCCAGCTTAGTTTCCTCCAAAAGAAATTCACTCACGTGCCCTGAAAATGCTCTGCAACAAGAACTAAATCCCAGTAAGTGGGGATGGATAAGGAAAGGACATACACTGTGAAAGTACATCCCTGATCCCATTGAGCACACTGGGACACAGGCACCCTATAATGGTCCAAATTAAAAACAATGAGTTGTGTGAAACAGAGATCCATGAGGTAAAGCGTTAGAAATCACAGCAAATTTCACTAGGTGTTACCATTGTATCTCCAGCATTTAAGGAGCAAAAAACTTAGGATTTTTTTGTTGTTGTTGTGTTTTATCTGTTACAACAGGTACACAAGGAGCTATTCAGAAGTCACTGAGCCATGAAGCTCAACCTGCCAGGCTCAAATTCAAAGAACATGTAATATGACCCAAGATGAGGGATACAAATTTTCTATTGCAGCAGTAAATGCAAACACTAAGATCTATGCTATTTTTGAGGAAGCTCTTAAAAAGTTCAGGATATAAAACTGAAGAACAGTCACTATCAGGCAAAAGGCAATGCCAGTTTGCCATTCCAGAAACCTAAAAAGGACCTTCGCAAGTCTTTTGGCTGAGATGAGAAACGTTACAAGCATGATGCCTCAACAAATAGACAGAGAAACAAATTAAGATTATGCTAACCCTTGGAGGCGCAACTGACCATGGAGTCTGCTTCCATGCACACTGGAAGTTTTCTGGAAAGTTTAAAACAATCACACTGCATCTCCATTTCTGTCCATACATAAAAAAACTCAGGATCTTCATTCCAAGTAAGCAAGCCCTAACTCATAGACTATCACTTTCACAAGGCTAAATATTCTGCCACATACTCTGACAAGGCGTTATAAAAGGACGTCTCTAGAGACTCAACAAGCGTAAAGGTTTGTGATGAGTAATGTCATATTATTTTCAGACATGCACAAAGGAAAACATAAGCTCTTTCCAGTTAACTCTGATAACTCAGAGAAAGCCTCCCCATGGACTCGAATGCTTACAAAAGCCACGCAGTCATTGCTGAGCAGAGTCACGCAGAACCTGATCTCACCTGAGCAACTGCAACAAAAATGCAGGCCAGCTTTGACCTGCACAGCATGTTCCTCTCTCAGCAGTGCGGTGCTTGACAGCTCATTGATTTTTACTGGGCACACAGTGATCTGTGCACCTCCTCAGAATGAATTAGGCCTTGACCTACCTCAGAAATGAAAGAAAAACCCATCCTGCCTATTTGATCTTGTTATTTGTAGTCAACTTAGCATTTTACTCCAGGTAAGCAGAATCTTCAAACTCACCCTTCACCACAACATACATGTCAAAAAAAGACATGGAATGATTTGCTAAGGTAGCATTTGCAAAAAGAACAAAACCACTACTAATTTCTGACTTTCAAACTAAAAGATCTCCCCTATGAAAGTACACTGCACCTGCAATCATGATTTAATGTCCCAGTGCCAAGTCTGAACTAGAAGTTAGTAGAGCAGGATCTCAATTACTTACTTGTTCTACATGTCTACAGCAGTAAGGATGTAATGATGTGACATATTACTTTAGAGCAAGTTACTGAAACTGTACCCCTGCAGTGAGATAACACAGCTTTAAACTCAACCAGCAATTGCCCAGAAGCGACAGTGACTGAAGCTGTATAGAAGTTGATTAAACATGGCTTTTTACCTAAACCTGAAACCTCAGACTCAAGAGTGCTGGTTTTGGTTCCAGACTTTCCAAGATGAGTTGTATCAGAAGTTTCAACCTTCCTCCCCTTTCTTTTTGTTCACTGCTAACATTTTAACATCAATACATCTAATTACTAGAACACTTCTGAGGAAATCAACCAATCTGCATTTTAAGTAATATCATTTTATTTCAGAAAAAAACCCAAACAATCCTACTTCAAAATAAACCAGTAAAACTGATGCATGAAAAAGAACACTCTCTGTGCAGAATACAGTATCTGTCACAAACTGAAAACACACTGTTAAGATTTTTAATTCTTTTTTTTAATGAGGTTTTAACAAACCAGAAATATTAACTTTGTACAATCTAGAGCAATGAAGCCCTTAAGGAAAATTGTCTTTAATATTAATGATGATTTTCACCATTAATCAAGACAAAAGAATGCTTTAATTAAGGGACATCAGAGAAATCCTATATTATTTAGCACTACCATCAGCTCCTAGTGAGGTTGATGAAAATCCTTCTGAATGTCAAGGCTCATCCCCATGCTCAGATGTTGAGGTACTGCCTTTATCTTCACTTGCTACTCAGCTACCCTTTGCCAAATAGGTGACTTCTGTAAACTGCAGACAAACTGAGGTGGCCAGAATGTGTTACACAACTGTTAGCGTTTGCTCCTGGCACACCATTAGCATACAGAGGTTACTATAAAGCAGACACAGCTACACTGATGCTCACAAGCAATTCAGGTATGGCTCTTGTAACTATCCAGATTTTCTCTAGTGTGCAGAAATTTCACAGCTACTGTGTGAAAAACAGAAGCAGACACTTCCAGATGCCAGTCTGTAATGAAAGAGGTCAAGCAGGCTCAAGAGTCAGAGCTGTTGCCCCACACAGGAGCGATTACTGAAGAGCAGTTGGCATATCCCCAAAGTGCATACCTGTGGGTCCCTTCTGCCCCAGCAAGCTCCTCCTTCCCCTTCCTCCCCCCACCTACACCACCCCCAAACAAAAAGGAAAGGAAAAAAGTGTAACTTGTCACAGATCTACAGGACAGCTTCACCTCTACTGAGGCCCAACCAGAGCTGGAGGAGGGTCATCTCTGCTGAACTGAGCCCACCTTGTAACTACAGAACGACGAGCTGCTGGAGGGGGATAACAGAGTAGGGAACAAAAAAATTACTTGTTGCATCAACTTCTGAAAAAATAGTGATGAAAAGTGCACTGGTACTTGCCTGCTTTAGGACTCACATTTTTGAATCAACCAGAAAGCTGCACTTTGTATAGTGCCTTGCACAGAAAGGCTCCAATCTGTAACTCCTCTATGGTAACAGAAAGTAGGTGAGCATTTCAGGTGTGTACATCCAGTCTTCCCTGAATTTCAAGCAACTCATACAGTGGATGATTAATGGGAGGGGCAGATCATATATGTCTATTTGTCACTCTTGCTGCATTCCCATCTCTACAAGAGGTTTTGGTCTTTGAGCAGTTTCTTTGGCAACAGAAATTCGCAGTTTCAATAACTATCATGTTGGAACTGTGTGGCACACTGTTATTCATGATGTGATGTTCTTCCTGGACAGTTATCCAGTGACACAGGACAGATGAAAAGCAAGTTGCTACACATGGTTTCTGTGCTGGTGCTCTTATTCTTAACTCCAGACTAGGCTTGTAATACTGGCTGCAGTTCCTAAAGCCCTATTCCCCAACATAACACACACCTTTTTCTTAAGACACAGCTAAGTTTTGTTCCAGATTAAATTATAGACAATACAGGAGAGAGAAAGGAGTACATTTAGAGAGCATAAAAGAGCTCTCTTCCATTAAAAGAGCAAGGAAGCTGACATTATTCTCTAGCTTCTCTCAGGTAGTCCTTGTAAACATGCTGTCTCTCTAGACTGTTAATTACATACAGGTATAAATTAGACTAAACTCTTAAAAGAGAGAAAAAAGCCCCATTTCTGAATTTATTAATACTAATAAAAAACGCATACTATCAACTCAATGGAAAACTACAGCAAGTAGCCTGCCATGGAAAATCTCTGCCTTAAGGCCCTTGTCTCACAAAGGTAATAGAAAGCAAGCACTTCCATGCCTTTTAAGTTTAACCCCAGAAACGTAGCTAGTTAATCAAGAAGCAAGCTCAGGGTTTGTCTTGAGAAAGCAGCTGACTTACTTCATTATGCTCCAAGCACCCAATCATCAGTTCTGTCAGGATAACCACTCCGGTCCTTCCTACCCCGGCGCTGCAGTGGACCACGATAGGAGGGTTGCAGTTGTTGCTGCTGTCCAACACGCTGTTGGTATGGCGACGCACGGACTGTATCTCCTCCAGGTAAGCTGCAAGATAAAATGTAGGCAAGGTTGAAAACATCCGTATAACTAAATGTAAAAACCAGGGAAAAAAGAATATGGAAAAGTCATTCTTTGTCAAAGTGGCAATAATTTACATGTTTTACAACATACTAATCATTTTGGCCAGGGTGCAGTGAACAGCACTGAATCCAGCAGGCACCAGCTGGGTGTCAATTATTACTTGGGAGTCTGGTCCTTTAAATTAAATAGTTCTTTTTAAAAATTAAATTCTGTTTTCCCCTCTGCAAATCTCCAGGTACCCTCAGCAGATGATTCTAGACATTACTTACAGCAATTCCTGCTAGTAACAGGCTGGGATCAAAACAACAGCTAAGTCCCATCGAAACTACTGCCTGTCAAAGCCAATATCAGATGGGAAGCAAGCATCCATCTGCTCTGTTTCCCTTTCCCTTCTAGAGGGAGACAGCAGCTCACCCACCTCTCTGCTCAGGGTTTGTTTCTCAACAGCTACAAGCCCTTCTGGAATCTCACTGTCTGTATTTTCCCCAAAGCCATTTCTAGGAAGTGCATAACTCAAGAACAATTGTCTTGTGTGGCTGTCCTAGTGTTGTTCAATGAATTTTACTATCAAACCGCACAGAGAACCTTACATAGTGGATGCTTACCTGGTTAGATAAACACACCATAAATTACAACTCCGACTCTGACCTCTAAACATTGTTTCAGCATAGTCTAGATAAGAAAGATGATGGACCTCACACAGAAAGATATATCAAGATGTATAACTCTTAGACACTTAGCTTCCCATCACTCAGAGTGGAAAGTGAGAGCTGAGCCAAACTCTCCTGCCTGACTCTTGGCCTCATGGCACCACAGCCTAAACAGTCCTTTTGACACAGGCAGGCTGTGGCTGGAGGCATACCAACATCAGAAAAGCTGCATTTTAATGCACACAGTGAAATGGGACTGTACGTGGTGGCAGGCAATGGGACAGAGGAAATGGGGACAATCAGGTTCCAATTACTGCCATGCCCAACCACAGCTACAGGGATTGGAAGGAGAAACAAAGTATGAAACAAACTAGGAGTTGGGCAATAGCTTTGCCTTAAAGATATATCCCATGGCACTCCTTTGCCAAAGCTGAAATGTCATTTTTATTTTCTGCCCTGGTGGCAGAACTGGGAAGAGAATGACATGTTATTTACATCAAGCTTATACCATGCAAAGGAGAGTGGATCACTAAAGGACAGTAGCTGTGTCAGGGCTGAAGTTGCTGATAGAAGACTTAGCTGCAACAGAGCTACACTGCTACACCTGCAGAGTTTTCAGAAACTAAGAGGGCAGGCATCTCCAGTTCATCAGGACACCACGTACAGACTCCTTCAGTGGCAACATAAAGAGCTCTACATCACACTCTACTATAGTGCCAGAGATATGGCTTTAGTTAAATAATGGTTGAATCCTATTACTTGATATGGTAGTGTTTATTACTTGGTAAGAACAGGAAGCTTTATTAACTCATTATAGATTAACATAATGGCTGTTTTGTTCTGAAATGCATGAACCAGGACCGTATTTAATTGGGAAGGCCCTTAGCATTGCCTGGGTACATGTGGTTAGAAGAGCGGCAGTGAGTTCAGACCTGTTGCATATGTGAGGGAGCCCTCTGCTCTTCTGCAACAAATCCAATGCCTCTGGACGACTAAATCCTAGCTGGCTGTCAGCAATAAGGGCCTCCTATGAAACTGGAGGAGTTGTGCCATATTTCACTAACATCTGAACCTCTCTCACCCAGACCTCTCTAATCACATTTGTGGGCAGCCTAATATCTCCTATGTTCATTAGGTAGCTGGGAAGTGGCAATAACTTACACTGACAGATGAGCCAGCAGAGATATCCTATTATTTAAAATTTCCTGAGTCTTTAGCACTGCAGCTGCCTCTGATTTTTCCTCCTGTTATGTCAGGTCTTTCTGGACCAAAATCCTCAGTCACCTTAGTTCCTACCTCTGGAATACAACTTTTTTTTTTTTTTCTCCAAAACACAGCAAAGTACAACCTAGTTGAGGCCTTTGTATGCAACAGTAATAACCTTTTAATATCAATCCCAGCTGTAACTAGGTGCAGTGAGCTGAATTCAATGTAAGCAACCTTTTCCTTCATGTATTTTATCATGCAAGTTAATGAAATCTTACATAAAAAGCCTTGGACTTCCTCTGGACACCCATGGTCTGGCCAGTCAGTATACTGCAAATGCCACACAGTCCTCTCTTGTCCAGAAAGAAGATGCTTGACCTTCAGACCAGTAGTAGCATAGCAGCCGGAGTCTGTGCGGAACTTAGTTGTCACCTTGAACTTCCCATAAGTGGCTGAGCTGTGCTTAGAGCCCAGTTTAGGCCAATAACGATGACTTTTACTTCTTCCTCCCTCCTTAATGACAACAACAAAAAAGTAATTAGTTCCTGCAATTATAATTCTCTACAAACAGAGGGCATAAAACTCTGTAGATAGGCCAAATATTCTTATTTCAAATAATGGAAGAGGAAGGAACATCCCACAAAGTAAAGAAAATATCCATAAAAACTTAAAACCCTCAGCCATATAATATTTCTAAGCGTAAAATGCTTGAACTAACTCCTGCTTGTAGTGAAAGCCAGCAACTGCCTACAACACATCAGTAAATATTCTCCTCCTGGGAAAGCCTCTCCTTTAAATGGAAGGAGATTCTCTTCCACAGCTTGTAAGTATCTGATGTTGAACGGCCTTGAGAACTGGACAGTGACTTGATGTACTATAGCACTCCCTGTGTTTGCTAAAAGCAACCAGGCATAAAGCTAAATACAGCATTTGTTAGCAATGTGTGCCATTTTTTATAACATAGCACACAGTTCTTGGATTACAATTGAAATAACTGTTTTGTTTGGCATATGAATAAAAATTTTTTTTTTTTTTTTTCTTAAACCATGGACACTTCTATGGAAACAACAACTTCTGGGCTCTTTTCAGCTGATAAGAGTGACGGTATGCAGAACTGGCCTTGGATGGGGTGGAAGTCTGTGTCATTTTAACCAGGAGCAGCTCAGTGCTCTCACATTCCAACGGAAACATCTTTGTTTGGTTTGGCCAAACTGAAGTGAAGCAGGGGGAAGGTGATTTCTCCTTGTTTCACTGTAGTACTTGCCAAACTGAGTATCAGAAAATTACAAAGTATAATATTATAGCAGTGCACGAGTATGTTCAAACAGAGTAAGAGGAAAAAGGGTTGCTGATAGAAAAAGCAGGTTACTGGAGTGGGAAGTGATGATAACAGATTTGCTCACATCAGAAAGAACTGTATTCTGTGATTTTACGTACCTCTTCAGCTGTGACCATGGCTATAACATTCACCCCCTGTTCCCACACCATCTGCCAGAAGTCATGGCATGTGTGTGGCAGAGGCCCTTGGGTAGCAATGTAGTGCCACTCCTCTCCACCTACAGTAACCTGGGAGTAAGGCAAAAAAAAAAAAAAAAAAGAGTCAGTGCCCAATTTCTCAGAAGTATCTGTGCCAGAACTGCCCTTTAAACAAAAGGAACAATAATAAAACCTTTAATTCTTTGTTCTTACGATTCTTGTTCAAAATTTTGAACAAGAATCATACTTTTGCTAAGAACAAATCTGACAAAACATAAACTTTGGTGCTTCTAAGTCTTTTGATGCCCATAAACATAAAGCTTTGACCAAAATGTCATCTATACTTTCTTGCCACTGCATCTGGATCACACAAATGAAAAAAAAATATTTTTATTTTTGAGGCCTGTTCATGACAGGGCTTAAGTACAAATAAGCAGCTGACTGGCTTCCCTGGGTTTGGTGGCAGACCCAAGATGAAAGAAAAACTAAGCACCAGTGGAAGTGTTTATGTGCATTAAAAAGGCATTGTATTGCTGCAAATGAACACATAGTAAATGTAGAAAGCCTGAATATGTAAACAACATTTTGCACAAAACCTAAAGGCTTTTGCTGTTTAGGATCTCCCTCAATTATTTTCCACTCAGGCAAAAAATCAATTTCTTAAACAGACTCTTACTACTCTGATCTCTGTTGAAGATGTAGCCAAGCTGTCCCCAGAGGATGCAGTTATGCCCACACACTGTATACATAACAAAGTTCAGATAGACCTATTGCCAGGTAGTGATACAATCCAGACAAGCTTCATTTCAAGTTACTCTTCCTCACTCATCTTGGGTTTTTCAGTTCAGAAGCTGCAAACTACTATAAAGTAAATCCAGCATATTAAATAGCTTTTGAATGCCATGTGAAATCTGAAATTATCTAAAGCTGTAGTCATGTAAATCTATTTCCCAATAGATAACTGGATTACCAACCACATCTTATAGAAATATTTGTGTATTTTCATGACAACACATCATTGTTTTTAGAGCACTAACACACAGATTTACACATTATATATTATGTAGTGCCCTATACAGACTCAGCATTACCTTGGAATTTACCAGTGTAAAACACTGCTTGATTTACCTGATTGAGGCAGAAATTCATACTTAGGCCATTAAAAAAAACAACACTCTTGTCTACAAAACAATTATTATTTCATGACAGATAATTTGCTATACATCAGGTTTATAGAAAAAAAATTTTTTTTCAACATTTTAGGTAAAAAAACCCAAACCACCTTTAGAGCTACCAGATATTGTTTGAAAATATGCTTACCAGCAAAAAGGAAAACCAGATGAACTAATTATTTTGGAAAGTTAAAATGTTTTCCCTTCTCAGGCTAAGACCCAATTCTACATCTTAGCCCAGAGCCACTTCTCGCAACAAAGTTGTAAATACCAGAGAAGATGATTTACAACAGAAATACTGACACATCCATAAATATCAAGGTGCTGGCGGAGAATGCTACAAGAAGCAATCAATATCTCTGACAGGTTTAACCATATACTATGTTTGAGGTAGAGGTTTTTGAATACATTTTCAGAAATTGAATCAATTTATTTGTTATTCAAATAGCTGTTCATGAAGCTGAGATGCTTGGGTTTTTATACCTGTAACTAGCATAGTGTTTATATGATAACAAATTTTTCACTGCATTGAAAACTGTTTTCAACCCTGTACATCAGCTCATTTTTCTTATTTCATACTATGTAGCATTCTCCTCTTTGAATAATGGTTAAAACCTTCAAGACTTAAAATCTGCATCAGCAGGCAGAATCCTCAGGTTTTTGTATTAGGTGGGAATGAATATAAACTGCACAGCACTAACCAGCATCTTGGACTCAGACTGGCCTTGTGCTTGCATGCTCATCTGCAGTCGTGAGCGCTGGTATGGTAATACTGAGCTTTTCCAGTTAATGCTGACCTGACCTGAGCAGTCAGATGAAGTGATCTTAAGAACTTTTTTGCTTAATCCGTAATTTTAATTATGCTTTTTCTCTCTGGTATAAACAATGATCTTTGTATCTTAGCAGCAAAAGTCAATGACAAATAAGCAGAGAAACGCTGTGAAACTGTGGGGCTTGCAGGCGGAGCAGTGGGAACTGGAATCCTCCAGGCATGGACCTTATCAGGATGATATAGGAGTTTTCTTTGTCTACTGACTTCTGGTCCAAATATCCAGCCTCCTGGCATATGATATGAAAGGGCCATAAATAGTCTGGAGGGATTGGGATGCCTGGAATGTTTACTGCATTTTAATGCCCTAACTGCAGGATATTAAAAATTGAATATTGGGCTGCAAACACACACACTGTGCTACTGAGGTAAATTTTGCAGATACAATTTCACCTTCTAAGCAAAAGCACATCTGCTTGGCTTCTGATGCACCTCTACGAGTGCGAGAGGAAAATACTGGCAAGGACCAATGTCATGCACTAAAATATTTGTGCATGTTCCTGGGTGCTCTATCAATGTGAGATGCCTGCATGTCCAACACTGACACACAAGGTAAAATGTGGACTCAAAACTAGCCAAGGAAAATTCTTTTTCTGGCTAGTACTGCTTTGTGGGCATAATTTATGTTACGAATATCCTTTTTTTGGCCTCCTACAAAGTAGATGAATTCTGGGCTCAGAAATCCATCATCATAGCAACATCTGATTATGCAAAAACTCAGTATCTACTACCTACCAGGCCATAGTAGAAAAGTGATAAACTGCCAGGATTCCAGTTCAGAAATTGTTTTGAATCAACAGGATATAATACTGTTGGCCAGCAAGTCTCTTTAAACTTTTAAAAGGCTTTTACTCCAGGAAAATATTAATTTAACAGGATACTATGTTTATTATTTTTGATTTACTTCTATTGAATTTGGATTTTGACAATGAGAAAAAGCAGACAGCTCGCTCTGACAACAAGAGAATCTGTCATCTGAGGGAGAGGAGTTACTTCTCTCAGGGTAGAGCAAAAAACAGCAATATAGTACTGGAAGTTTAAAGAAAACCAAGCATCTGCAGCCACTGCAGTACAGTTCACTGTTAAAACCAGTCACATTTGTAAGTAACAGTCAGATCATATCTTAAACTATTTCTACATTGAATTAACAAGAAATCTGAAATTTCTTGATAAAAACGTATTTTGAAACAGAGAAGTTCAATGCAATATCTTATCAGAGACACAGGGATCTCATTAGCAAGGCATACTTAAAAAATTGGGACTGATAAATCAGAACACATATTGACTGCTCATTCTTTCAGGTACAGGCCCACGACAACCATATCACACTGCAGGTATTGGGGCTGATCTAACACATTTTCATGAGGTTTAAGAAACATGGCTACTCTTTCTACATTAACCAGCAGACGTATTCTGTAACCAGCTGGCAGAGGTGAGCATAAAAAAAGTAAGGATGCCCCTCAAACTACTTCCCAGTCTCTAGCAATTAAATCAACTCACACATGTTAGTTGATAGGGGACTTTAAAGATGCCCATGCTGACACACAGGTACAGTAATGCATTCTGACTTGAGTTACTTTTTCAGAAGCTTGAGTTACAGAAAATGCCGCTGTGCATTCAGCAATGCAAAGAAAACATTAGCATACCTTCATTTGCAAAGCAAAGTTCAAGAAAGCTTTTACCTTTATATGTGACGCATTGATGTAGCCTGTATTATTTTCTTTGGTCGGTACCAGCTCTACTCGGTTCTCTTCATAAGGAACGACCTCCCTGATACGGTTGCGCTCAGTGTTTTCAGGCAAGGCAGCAGTGGTGAAGATCCCATCTGCCTTTTTCTTTGGAATCTGCTCATATTCTGTAAACACCATGCCCTCTTCCAACTTCCTCTTCAAGATTTTGCACTAAGATTTAACAGGAAGGAACACCAATCTATTAACTCTTCCCGGAAGAATGTATACCACAAGACCCCTCCATCTGTTCTTTGAATTTCAATATACAGCCATAGCATTCCCACTTGCTTTTTTTTTTCAGCTGCAGTTATCTGAGGAAACACCACACAGTCTTTCTACTGAATGAAACCACAAGCCAATTTTACATTTTTACATTCCACCTCCACATGCTAAATACAATCCTGGTTCAGTATGAATTTGTATGTGATTTCACCACAATAGATACTTGTAAGAATATTTTAAATGTATCTTTTTAGGAAGAACACCATAGTGAGAGAAGTGTGACGTGGTCCACATTGTCAAAATACTCTCTAACTTGCAAGTATGTAATTTCTGTGATTGAACACAACCCCACATACACAGGCAGAGGTTAAGTTCTGTCGTCTGTGTACCAGACAATACGAGACTGCAAACTTCTATCCAGAAAGATTCTTTGCAAATATGTGTCTCAGATCTTAATGGCAGCAACTGTTTTTAATTTCCAAAATTCTATATATGTGCACATATCCACATGTGCAAACATCAGGAGGCAAACTTTTTTTTTTAAAAAAATCCTGTTAGAGTCATTAACTGAACTCTAGTTGTATCAGAACATGAAAGACAGTATCTATGGATGATCACCACAGAAAGCCTGCCTAATCAAGTGAAAAATGTACAAAATATTAGATTTACAGCTTGATCTTGTATGACATTGTATGGTCATGTGAAACATTGAGCAGCCTCAATTTTCACAGACTTCAGTAAACATTCAAGACATTTAACTCTTTGACAGCATCCAAAATCACGCCAGTGTATGGTAAAGACCTTTTCCATTAATGGCTCTGAAAACTTTCAAGAGAAATTTTTTCACATTTTAAATCAAATTTTAATATTTTAGAAACTTCATGCTGCTGGGAACAAAGGCAACGAGCATCATTTCATGAACCTCCATCTTACCCTCTCATCCATTGGCACCTTGGCGACTTCATCCTGGCTGTCCTCCGGCACCGGAACCCTAGCAACTGAGAGTCCGTTCAGTGCTGCCAACATCAAGGGCCTCTTCTGGGCCTCCAGGCCTGCCATCTTCTGCTTTTCTAGATTCTTTTGGCAAGAAAAGGCACGTTTTCATCTCTGTGTGATTATTTATAATGCCAGTAAAATGCTGGAATGTTTTTTTAATCTCCAAAATCTGCAACTCTCTGGCCAAGGAATGCAGATGATCACCATTAGCATCGTAAATTCAAATACAACCTCTATTCTTCCTGTTATTCCTCAAAGGCCTGCTCCTACATGAGCACAGAATTTTAATTTCAAAGAAGCAATCCCAGTGTATAATACAGTTTACATGCCATCAAAAGACACACAAATACAATCTCGAGCATTTTTCTGCAAACATTATTCTGAATGTAGGACACACAAAGCATCACTCTGTTATGTTAAAGTAGCACTACCATAGCCAAGATACCTGGGGCATCTTTTAAAAAGCAATAATTTCAATCTATTACAACAAACAGTAGAACACATTGTTTCTCTTCTGTGATGGTTAATACTTAAAATGAGAAGTCTTCTGATGCACTCAGCTATTATGGTGATTCAGATAGCACCCATGATATATTTTGCACTAAAATCTGAGCTCGCATATCCCAGAAACTGAACATAACAGCAGCCAGGGAAGGATATTTATTGTATTCATGCATCATATTATGCTGTGACATGGGGAACCAGAGTATGAATTTTAAATTCATCCTGCTGCCCTCCTTATGCCACTGAGAGCTGAAACATCAAAAAAAAAAAAGAAGACAGACCATCTCCAGAAGTACACAAATTAGAATATTTTATCCCATTTCCTTAACAGTTCTTTCTGCTGGATTTGGAAAGAGAAATGAGCACAAGGGAAGCCTAGAACTTAGCATGCATATGGCAGCTGTGGTCACCACACAGGCCAAGCTTGGCTCCTAGAAACAAAACTACTGAACCTGAATGCCTCAGACATAAGCAAACGGCTTGATTTTGAAAAGCCTGTGAGCTTTTTCTTCATCGCTGGATTTCTCCAGAGCACTAAGTGAAAAACAAACAAAAAAGTGAAACAAAAATACAGACCCACTTTATCTTTTCATACCTTAAGAAAGCAGGAAAATGCAAGTATTTTTACTTTGCTTGAGGATTTTATTATTCCTACTACTTGCAAGGTAAAAATAGAAAAAGTCTGTGTTTAAAAGATCAAGGTCATCAAATTACCATTACTATTACATGTGATTCCTATGACAAAAGGAAGGCCTCCATGTGTTAAGACTGCTGATCTGGGCTGAAACCACCTTAAAAGCTTAATGCTAAGACCATCCCTTTACTTTCAGAAACAACAGAACAGCAACAATAAAGAACTTTCTCACCAAAGGCTGATCTGAATGATTATTCAGAGGAAGAGTGCTCAAACAATATCTCTAAGCTCTTTTCTCACCTTCATTTTCTCCTAAAATCCTTTGGGTTCCTGCTTCTCAACGTTTTCTTTCCTCAGAAGATCAAAAGAGCACATATATGCTTGCTGTCACACCAGTGTCTACAGTATTCATTCATGAAAGATTATGTTTTATAGTCAAGTATCTATTTTACATTTAAAGTTTAAGATTCTGCAGGGAGTAAATTCAGCCTCCAGTTTGATTCCTAACCATTACATCAGTGTAAGGATCACCAAGGAACAAGAAGCACTATACATATGTTTAGAAAATTTCTTTGAATATAGAGCATTTTTTAAACCTATTTTTTAAACCATATTTAAACCTAACTGGTTACTGGTTACCATTTTTAAACCATATTTAAACCTAACTGGTTACTGATCTAGTACATTAAAAACTCTCCTTCTGCTCTGGATCGTTTAGATGCTTCATTAATTTGTTTCAGAAATTGTTTTTGTTTCAGCTCTCGGTTCTGAAGAAAATAACTATGGCACACACTTTGCTTTCTGTGACTGCAGTTGCAATCCCCACAGTGTTACATCAAGCACATACATAAGTCACTAAATGGTAAGCACCCCTCATTTTTCTGCCATTGCATGAAGTGGCACTGAAGCCTTTACTTCTAATTCTGTATTCATTGCAAGTTTAAAAGGACCATATTTCTAGTACTTGAGTATGTATTTTTTTTAAATAAACAATCCAGATCCTCAACCACACAGCTACATCTACTGCTTCCATAATTAGATATCTGGTCACTCTATTTTATTCGCAAAAACAGTAATTCATATTCTACATCCACAGTGTTTTATTCAGATAACTATGTTTTATAAAGTGGCAGGAAGGGAAATCAAAGAGATCATTTGAAAAACTCGAGGGTGTCCATTATGTCATATATTAGTTGGTACTTGACACCCCTGCAAATAAGGAATAAAATGCTATCACCAAAACACAATCTCCCACTCATCTCAGCAAACACATTTCAGACTCATGCTGCCCTCAAATCCTTGGAGGCCAGAGCACTGCACAGGCAGAAGGTGAACAGGCGTTGAAGGGGGCTTTGCAGTCACCCTCCTCGTCACCCAGCTGCGTGCTTCTGCCCCCGACCTCGGGCTGGCGCTGCTGCCCAGGTGGTGGCATCGTCGGCTGGGTCAGTCGCAGACCTGGCCAGCAGCCAAACCACCACAGCAGAGGAAGCAGACAAAGCCAATAGCGTTGCACATGATCGGCCCCTTTGGCTGCCATACAGACCCACGAAACCAAATTGTATGTGGCGCTTAATATCACATTTCCTAACTTTAGGCAAATCCACATCTTCCTGCCCACGTGTTCCCCACAACTTACTGATCCAACAGTTTTCTGGTATGGAAACTGACCTGTATGATTACTAATTTCCAAGAAGCCACTGCAACAGAGGAAGGCACTTACCCTCATCATGATTTCTCTTTCTATAATGCTGTCCTCAATAGAAAACATTTCAGACACAGGCCTTTCCTTGACAGGTTCTTTCTTGACCCGCTCCTTCACACTCGTGAGGTCAGGCTCTGAGATAGAGGGCCCAAGCGAAGACCCATTTATTGCCATTTGATCAGTTCGAGAAACACTAATGGCTTTGGAAGGCCCTGGCCTCATGGCCTTGGCCCTGGCTACAGCCACAGAAATGCTAACATGGTCCTGCCTCAGGGCTCCATTGCTGACACTTTTACGAGGCCCAGGATACTCTGGAGGAGGTTTATTTGGTATTCTAGCCAAGGCAGCTTGCAGCTGAGCACTGTACTCCATGTTCTCATGGAGGGCTGTTATCCGTGAAACAGATTCTGAGGTTTCTTCTTCCTCTTCACTTTCACTGCTGTGTATCAGCATCGTGGCATCAGAGAATGTCTTTTTGTGATGATAATGAGGAACTTGCTGAACTTCATGCCCCATCTGAACTGACTCCTCTGGCTGCACCTGCTCCCGCAAAGTGTTCCTGCGTGGCAGAGGAGCATTTAAAGTTTTTAATGCCATGGCTTCTATACCACGTACCATATTGCTGATAACCTCCAAACTATGGCGCTTGTTCACAGCTGCATGATGCTTCACTGCCATGAGGGGCTCGCTGACCTCCTGCAGTGACTGACGGACAACCGGCGAGCTGTCCTCTTGGAAGGTCTTTACTGAGAGCTGGACTTTGCGAGTGACCAAGTCAGGACTGCTCCCACTGACATACTTGTGCCGGTGACTTGCCAGGTCCGGCGTGCTAGTGGCAGGACGTGGGCGTGGATACGGAGGTGGGGGTCTGAAGAGATAGTTCTTTAACATGTGAGCAGTGTTGTAACTCTGGCTGCTCTGCAGCTGCATGTTAGCCAGTTCTGGTGTGCTGACAGTGTGGGATATGGCACTGGCTGCTGTCTTATTTTGAGCAGTGTTATTAGGGTTCATTTGGTCAGATGGGGCAACAGGCTTGTTATAGCCACTGCCCTGGGGCCCGTATGTAATTGTGTAAGGATGTCTGTCTCGCATCTCAGGCTGACTGTAAACCAGGTCTTCTGGCTGGTTATAAGCATGTGTGTTTCCAATATTGAGATTCCTCAAAGACTGACTTTGGCTATCCATCTGGATCACCCCTCTCTTCATTTGCCTCATGACAGTTTCATAATCTGGAGTTGGCCGGTAAGATGGTACTATAATTGCACTATGTCTGTGGCTGGGGATGTAATCTGCTCTCATGATGTCACTTCCAGGGATGCTCAGATTTGAAGACATGGGAGATGCCTGGATGAAGTTCTGTGAGCGATTGAGGGAGTTCATGCTATGGGCACTGCATACACTCCCATTGGGTCCATTACCATTCAAGTAGCTGAAGTCCACTGGACACCTATCCAGACTGGACTGAGATCTACAGTAGAAAGTTTCTTCATTTCCATGGAAAATGCTATCTGTGTAGAGCAGAGATAAAGACATTGACAATTTCAATATACAAGGACTCATTCAACCTTAACAAAACTTCACATGCAGTCTACACCAATGAATACAGAGACAGTTTAGTGTACAACAACTGCAGGGAACGTGTGGTCTTGAGAGCATCCTTGAGTCACTGAAACAGAACTAAAACAAAGCTACTGACATAAACACTCCCAACAGTTAGCAAAATACGGTATTTCAGATCCTTGTGGGATACATGAAAGGGAAAGTAGAGGAAGTGTTTTTGCCTGAAGTAGCAAGGAAGAATAAAGGGGCCATCTCCTCCCTCAGAATCCTGAAAGGATTCACTGCTGCTGCCACCTTAAAAATGCAGTGCTGCCAGCCTATGGTAATGCTAAAAAGTTCTCTTGCCTTTTTTGCCTAGCAGAGGACTGTGAAATTGGAAATCCTACTGCAGATCAATCAACAGTTTTGAGGATCTGAAGTATAACACAGCAGGATGACCAAGACTCAGGAAAAAAACCCACCCTACAGATGCACTAAAGAAAATTAAATACTTCAAGCAAAGTATATTAGAGAGGGAATCAACTTGGTAAAGTCGACGTCCTGGATCACAACTTCACTGCAAGACTGTCTAAGTAGGTTAGCAGCTCCCAAAATTCTGAAATCATATAGTTTTTCAACAATATAGAGAACTCCGTGGTAAAACTAAGGGAACTTTACAATTCTTCTAAAATTGAGAATATCCCCCCCTTCAGAGCCTCAGATTCATAGTATAACAGTATTAGCCACTGAATCAAATCTACTGTATGCAAGGAACTATACTTAATGGCTCCTTTCAAAACTCATCAAATTCTACCTTAAAATTAGTCAGACCAACACAACTCTAAAACACTATCAGGTATGACTAAGAGCTCCTCTGCTGGTGAGAGCACTTCAACTGTACCTCTTATGAACTGCAAAGAACATAGCCTAACAGACCTGGCTATGTGTATTCCAGAAGGTGGTGTGGTTAAAGGTGTGAGACTCAAGGTGTTTTGAGCTGGGCTCCATTCCCAACCTTGATCAAAGTAACCTGGTACAACCTCTTAGAGAATTTATTCATCAAACACAGGGGTAAAAATAGTTAATCCTCCTCATGTTCGTAAGGCTAACACTGCAGGCAGATGCTGGTAAAAAATCAGCAGAAAAGATTATCTAAATATACAGTTTTGTGATCAGGACACTATGATTTCTCCTAGAGTAAAAGATATTTGCTCTTTTTTCCCCTCACTGGCCTCAGCTGGCACTGCCTTTGAGTACAGCCATCATACTTCCTTTAGAAATTATTTGTTCAGCTCACTGAACTGGAATACCAAGTTTAAGGTCCATATAATCATGCACAGACATTTTGGAGAAATCTGAAAACTGAAATTGGACTTTAAACACAAGACTTACTGCAACATTAACTATAAAACTGCTAGCTCTCCTCCAGTAGCAGCTCCCGTTTGACCACGATGGCTTTAGAAATCTAGACATACTGGTTAGGAGCTTCTTTGCATACACATAAAACTGAAGTCCATTAAAGGAAAAATATATGCTCTAAGTACCTTGTGAATTATGTGTTTCAGTGTAGTGTTCTCCACACTGGACATGCATAGGAGGCAGTATAAATGGATGTTGTCTTGGCTGAAATAAAAGCACAAGTAAAAAAAAGCATTAGGAACTTTCTTTGTTATAATTTTTGCAGCTGAAGCAGGAAAAATGGTTCTATGCCCTTTCCACTGAATTCTGCTCTTTATTACCCAGCCAAAGACACATGGTTTGGCATTTCTTTATAGAACAGAGAATAATATTTCGTAAATTGTTCGCTAAATTTTGTTACAGAGTCCAAAGCTGACCAGTTTAGACTCCTTTAAGCTCAACCACTTTAGAAAACACTATCCAGACTCCCAGCTCACTTAGAACTTTTCAAACATTTATTAAAAGCTCTTGCCCTTGAAGAATTAATACAAAACAAAACAAACACCTAATCAGGACAAAAGCAGGACACAGAACATATTCAAGAACCTAGAACTGCAATAAAACAAGCAATAGGAGCACATATGGACTTAAAATAACTCTGCAAATTACATAAATATTGTTTTCCCTAGATAATGAATTGAAGCCCTCCAACAATCTGCACTGCAACAAGTTTTTTAACACAAGAATCACAGGGAGCAAATCAGCATTAAATCAGCAGGATCATTTGCAGCAAAAGAAATCACAGCTGGTGCCATATTCACCAGCTTTGTCCATTGGTAAACGGATGTGTTTTGCAGTCACATTTTACCACCTGCACTGTAATGTCCTGTCTGATGTCACTAAGCAAAGTTTATGAAAACATACTTTGATATACAAAGTAAGCAGAAAGAGAAGTAAGGCACTCCTGTCTCACAAATATGTCTTCCTTAAACCAGAATAAGGGCTTTTCATCTAGGCTGATTCAAGTAGTTCAAACTATTAAGGAATACTGTGGATGCCCAAGGCAAAAAAGAACAAGAAACACCAAATAATTTACCTCTGCATGCACATGCACAAAATGAGCACCACAAGCTAGCTATGGAAGAGGGGGGTTAGGGAAGGGGTTAAATTCACATTTTCTGTGTAAATGGGGAGAAGGAATGAGAATCAAAGAAACTGAGCGCACACATGAATTCTTGCATACAAAATTGCTGTGTTAAGCCATAGATGAAAGATGACAGGAAATATTTCTGCTACAACTTCCATGGGTATAAAACCCTACTCTCACCAAACAATCTGGGCAAAGGAGCCTGCTGCTGGCAACTCAAGTAGCAGAGCTTAGTCTGGAACAAACCAAGATGTTAGAAAGCCTAACAAAAGGCGGGTGGAGGAAAAACACAAGGGAGAAGTGATTTCTAATGGGAATGTATGGAACTGGAGCAGACAAATTTCTTTGTGATAGATGTTATGGAAGATATCCACGAGGAATTTTTTTGTTTGTTTTTTTGAAGGCCCATCTGCCTCTTCTGAAGAAACAGTAGAACCTTGAGCTTTGCAGAACATCAATATCTAAATTAAAGGATCACTTGGATTTTTTTCTTTTTCTTTTTTTTAATCATCTAATTAAACATATCATCATATTAAGATCTCCTACACTGAGAAGGTTTTGCTGGAAAGCCAGCATCATTGGGTGGCCTGACAGGAAAAAGAAACAGCATAAAATGGATTTAAAGTACTAGTTAATAAAATACAGGTTCACCACAATGCCAAAACCATATAAAAGGTCTTAATCTGAAAGTAAAGAACATGATCCTCAGTGAAGTGGCAGAGCCTCACCCCAAAGATTCCACTTCCCATTTATGCCTGCTGATTTATTACCATACAAGACAAATGAATAAGTAGGTGTATAAAGGTATGTACAGTGCAGACAACAGTCAGGAGGGCTTTTTTTTTCTTCTCCCCAAAGAGAACTGTTCCAACAAGTTAACAAAACAATTATGAAAAAAGCAGTTGAAAGTTCAAGGTGAATGGTTAGCAGCCCTGTTCACTTTTTAATTGATAAGCATGCATTCCTCCTCTTGATCTTCATCAGACTTTGTTTTATTTTTAAATTTGTTGCATGCTTCTGTTCAAAACAGAGAAGCAGCAGGATTTGGTTTTCCTTTGAAAAAGTAGACATCTGTTCTTCATATCTAATACAGAAGGTAGCTCTCTCTTTCCCCTAGTGATATATTTGAGACCATGGCATAAGAATGCAAAGCAGGTTTCATTCCTTTATGTTCAGTTTTTCATAGTCATCTCCAGGGATCAAACTAGCAGATAGCAAAAATACTGTAAATATGCCTCAAAGAACATAATACACAGCCTGTGTGTTGCATCATGACACCTTAGACACATGCTAAGAATGAAAGGATAAAGGATTCCAGAGTCAGCTACAACAGCTTTCCTGCCAGCGGCTGGGAAACACAGAATCACAGAATCAACTAGGTTGGAAAGGACGTTGAAGATCATCTAGTCCAACCATTAACCTAGCACTGACCATTCTAGAATGCAACTTTTAGATCTAATAAACCATATATAAGCACACAGAAAAATAGCTTATGCTAAAACCTGCAAAGATACAAGTTATCCTAATATCAGTACCTGCTTAACCTTAATTTCGGAACACTTTCACAAGCTATAACCACACCATGGGGATATGTCAAGAAAACTCTCCTGGACACATTGTCTTTCTGCCATGAAGGGATAGGCTAATGGAGTTATCACTCTGGGAAGGTCTACAAAGCAGTTATAACCTGTATCATGCATGAAAATTGGCAACCTGCACACAGATAATATTGCCCTCTAAGGAATCAGCAGTGCTGTTGCTACTCTTATTTAACAGATTCTGAATTACTGTAAGAAATATTGACATACTAGATGTTAAAACGGGATGCAAAAAAGCATCCTTTGAACTGACCAGGGTGAAAAAGACTCCCACAGACTTCAGGAAAAAGTTGTCCAGTTTTGTCAGATTTATAGTATTTATGGAGATGAGTTAAATGGAAATAAACAGAATTTAAGAAAAACTCTGAATCACAATCCTATACTGATTATATAATAGTTTTACTTAAAATCCCAGTAACTTCACACAGAAAATAGGCTCTCAACCCAAGAAGCTGTTAAATTGTGAGTAGACTTTATATAAATACATGATGAATGGAAGAAATGTGAAACAAGAAGCTGTAAAATTATGTAATGACTAGTTTTTGATGTATACAGCGCAAGACATTTCAAATTCTTTCTAGAGGATTATTTTCTCTACATATGGAAATAACCTCAATCCAGTAGAAAAGATGCTCACTTTCTGCAGGGCAAATAAAAATAAAATGCCTTGAAGACTGTAATTTTTAATACTCAGTGTGATATTATCCAGTTAAATTAATCAACCTGGGCAGCCACACCCTTGAAACTCATTCCAATCATATTGCCTACAAGAAATGAGTTAATGCACTTATTTGAAATTTAGAAAGTATTCCATCTTACACAATGCCCCATCCCTTCGGAAATGGTACAGACATTCTTAAAGACCCCACTGTGGCACATACCAAGGATGACCTACTCCAAGTGGGCCGTCGTCGGATAGGGGGAGGAGAACTTGACTGTCTGTGGAAGAAAAAGAGAAATACTAGAAACTACAATATTTAAATTCTGATTCAAGAATGAATTGGAAAAACAAGAGATGAAGTATCTGTAAGTATTGCTCATGAATGAGATTTAAAAAAATACGAATAAATGAAAATAATTAATGTTCTTCTCTAAACACAGGAAGTATTCCAGTTCCAAAATATACATGCCTTCTGTTCATTATCCTATTTGGTTTACTTGGAAACACAAGAAAGAAAAGCTCTGGTTTAAAAAAATGAATCAAACAAGTCTCTTAAGCAATAAAAACTGAACATAGCACAAAGGCACAGTCTCAGGTGACTTAAGGTGAACATTAAAACAACGACAATTTTATGAATTTCATAGCAATCACTCCAAAGCAATGTGCATAGATCTGGAGGGGGAAAAAAAAAAAAAAGACAACTGTTAGATAATACTAGCAGAGCACATACAGTGTTAAGAGTAGCCAGGTGCAGTGGAAGGAACAAGGAGTATAGGAAGAAAAAAAAAATGACGAAGGGAAAGAAACAAGTTGAAGGAGGCAGAAATATAGTGCTTACGTGAAGAGAGGAAAGGTAGAATTTGTCCTCTTACAGTTTCTGATCTGGTGAATGATGTTATGTGCGATTAGAGGAAATGCACACAGGAAAACAAACAACTATCATTTTAACACAGAGAGCAGGAAAATTATTTGGCTAGAAAACACACATTGGCATATGCTGTCATCAATATCTGTGGCTCTAACACAGAAGCTGATACTACAAGAAACTGTGGTAAGGAGAGCAGTTCTAATGGCAATAAAACATTTAAACTCTGGTTATTTCACTCAGCAATCTCATGACATTCCCTGCCTTCCTTAGTCCAAATATCTGTAAGTTGTACATGAAGCTGCTACACACACCCAGTTCATGGTACCCACATACTTATGGCTCAGTGTTTAGAAAATCAACACGATTAAAAGCTATTGCTTCTGCAGTCTGGATTATGAACGGTAACAGAACAGTCCTCTCTATTGACCCCAATATACAGCTTTAAAGCTTAGAAATATTCCAAGATGACAGACTATGGTATTTTGTTTTATTTCTTGACTGTTACAGTGGAGACAATGAGGAGCTTCATTTGAACTCAATTCCTCTGAAACCATTAGAATTAAATTTAGCATTGGACTACTGAAATAAATTATATGCTACTACGAAAGGTCTTTTCTGATCTTCCACTCACCTCCCAAGAACTGTAAGCACCATATGAAATCTAATCAACATCTCTTTTTCTGTAAGTGAAAGGATCACACTACACAGTTCACCTCACTGGTCTCTCCCAATAGTCTAACTCACCGTATGTTAATATAATGTGTGCATACATAATATTAGAAAGCTAGACCTTCCAATCTTTCCTTCATCATTTTGGCTTTATTTTCAAACAGATGGCATTACCCAGCCAAACAGATGGGATGTCCACCTCTAACTAGAGCTGTTGATAGAGATGTGACTTCTTCGTATCTTTTCAACTAACTAAGCTGATAAGTTTTGCAAGGAATTGATTTCATTGCTACACAAACACAGCACATCAAGAAAATTTCTCAAAACTCTAAACTTTTGAAAGCTAAATTTATCTCAAACTAAAATTGCTGCATGCTTGTAAAAATGAAACATCCTCAGCTAACAAACGGACTTTTGACTTACAACTAAAGCCTCATTAATTCTTCCTTCAGTTCGGATGAATCCACCTGTGAGAGGACTAGCTCAAGGCCAGCTCCTTAGTAAGTGCTCAAAGTAGAGCCTAAAGGAGATTTCAAGTTCAAATTTACAGTCTCTGCTGCATTGTGCTAGTATGGCTATGCAGGTTAATGTTCCCAGGTGTCCTCCCTTGTCTGGCGCACAGAAGCAGATAAATTATACTGCCCAAATTAGAAGATGACAACCCGTGTTTTCCACTGACCTTAGCTGCATCTTCAGCTAGGGTAGTGCATCTTCAAAATGCTACTGTATTTCACATTTTGACACATTAACATATGTCACTTTTCACTCCAGTTTATACTAATACTCTGGGTTATGAACAGAAGAGACCAAGGGCTTCAATTCAAGACTGTTAGGTTTGGTTTGACCGACTGGTTGCTTGGGGAGCATCAAGCCTCACAAGGCTCAGAATGAAATTTCATTCTCAACTGTCTGTTCTTGCTGGTGGTGAAAACAAAACAAGAAAAAAAGGGAAAAGGGAAAGTATAACTGACACAAGTGACTAGAAAAAACAAACAAAACCAGACATGCCAAAACTCGGATCAATTCCAAAGCAGGGTGTCAGAAAACAACTCTGAAGAAACAGTACTCACTCTGTGCAGATTTTGTTCTGTTTGTAAAACTTGTGTCTTGCTGCAAACAGCCGTGAAATATATTTGGCATTTTCAAGATCATCCTTTAAACACAAGAAAAAATAGGAATATATATATATATATACACACATATACATATATACATATAT